ACATTAAACCAAATTACTCCAGTCAACAATAGTAAAACAATAGTATGACAGAAACACGTCAGTACAAGCATAAAACGCGAGTGGGAACAGTTTATAGTACATCAGAATAATACTATTACTACAACAACACAGCAGCGGTCAAGAAGTTAACTGTGCCACATATACTGTATTTATCTTAAGCTCATAGACTCAGTTTGCCTTCTTACCCCCACTTTGTATATTCCTAGCATAAAACAAGCATTAGTAATGTGATACTTAAATAATATTAGAGTTATGCTACTAAAGAACGGAATAATTTGGTAATAACTTTTGTACACTGCTTTATAACCACACTTCTACAACGTGTAGACACCTTTCACTATGATAGGGAAGTAACAGACTTATTCTATTTCCTTACCATATCCATATTTTTACAGTAAACTTACCGTACAAGTAGCACTCGTACAGTAATACGACATTATATTACAACACGGTAGTAAAACAAACTTTAACCGGTGCCTGCAGGAAACCACGACACAAGCCAAATTCCAAAATAATAATAAGAAAGTAAAATGAGTTCAAATCAACACTTCAACAAACAATGAACCAAATTTGTTGACTCCAAGATTGCTCGGGCTTCAGTTTGGATTCTTCGAAGTTCCCACACGCCGAGCATAATCATACTAGGCCATTGTGTCCTCGACAGATTGTATCCAGCTCTTTCCTGCTATTTCTTCTTCCTACGTCTGTCACCTCATCAGAGGTCGCCTGACCGGTCGTTTTCTTTCCCTCGGGTACCATTCAAGAATACGCGAGGTCCATCGGTTGTCATCAAAACGTGCAATGCGCTTTACTCAACGGATCACGCTGCGGAGAGTTCGTTGTGGACACGGTAACGAAGAGATATTCTAAGCATCCTTTGTTCCACTGCCCTCTCCGTCACATCCAGTTGCCTTCAACACTACGTTGCTAACGAGGTAAAGAGGATCTTGCTGGTCTGATACTTGGAGGACATCGATGATGCTGTAAAAATTGCACCATCCGGCAGCCCTTCGACGTATAATATCCGGTAGGAGATCATGGTGCATATTCAATTCTTAGCCCAAATAGAGATAGCTGTTGACCTCCACGAAGTCCAAATCTTCTAACTGTAAATGGGCATTGGGCTTGCCGACACTTTGCACCACCTTCGTTTTAGTTGTGTTAATTTTAAGACCCACTTCATTACTTCGTTCTGGGACTCCTGCAACATCTCCTTCATTTCTCGAGCATTTTTGCGAAGAGTACTAGGTCGTCTGCGAAGCGCAGATGATTCAGCTGTTCGTCGTTAATATTCAGACTGCCCTTCCAGTTCAATTTGCAGAATACCATTTGGCAGGCATTAAAGAGCTTGGGTGATAAAGGACCACCCTGTCGCACGCCCTTCTCAATCGGTATATGAATTGGGTTTGAAAAAAGCGTTATTTTGGACGCGCATCATGCATTCGCTTCTTTGATGATTTCGACATAGTTCTCGTCGATTCCACCATCTTTAAGAGCTTACAGAACAGCGTTGAGTTTCACGCTGTCGAATGCCTTCTCGTAATCGCCGAAAAGGAGACATAAAGGTAATTTATTCTCACTAGCGAGCCTCTAGCAGTTGGTTTAGAGTAAAAAGGTTGTTCGTAATGTTATATTTGCTTCGAAATCCTGCTTTCGCTCTCGGCTGCTGCTCATCGAGTGGTCCTGTGAGGCGGTTGGTAATGATCCTTGTCAACAGCTCCCATACGTGAAAGAGCAAGCAAATCCAGCGATAATTCTTCAGGTCTTCTTTCTCGTTCTTTCTAAGGAGCAGAACGGTCCTCGATTCGTTCCAGCTGCTAGGGATGGTCTTTTTAGTCATATAGTGACTTAATCTAGCGGCAAGTGCGATTTATGATAAACTTCAGGTTCATTGCAATTACCAGTGTTAATTGTTAAGATATCAAAACAGGTAGACTAGAATTATTTTCCCTTTCGGTGCCTAACTCAATATTTTGAGAGAAGAGGCTATTGAG